TTTTTTTTTTTTTTTTTTTTTTTTTTTTTTTTTTTTTTTTTTTTTTTTTTTTTTTTTTTTTCGGACGTTACATGAGGTAACCGGCGAAACGTAACGAGTCAAAACGAACAATATAGACATGTGCTATTACAAATAGTATCAGAGCTAGACACTGAGTGATGTGTCGCAGTCAAAGCGAACAATATGGACTTGTGCTGTTACAAATGATATCAGAGCTAGACATTGGGTGATGTGTGGTCGATGTGTCAGCGCAGAGACGTTGTCCCCCCGCAGAGACGTTGTCCCCCTAATGAGGTGGATTGTGAGATTGCTTGGGCTATTAGCTACTACATACACGGTATAATCTTATCCTATAATGTATTTTAATCTTAATAAATTTGAAATTTATAATCTAGAAGCATTCTTATCTTATAATGTATTTTAATCTTAATAAATTTGAAATTTATAATCTAGAAGAATACTAGAGGTTACAGAATTTCAAATTTTCAAACCTTAAACAACAACATTTCAAACCTATGAAACTTGTAAATCAAATTTACCAATTCAAGTTATATATTTTTTAATTGAATAATAAAATAATGAACAAAAACATGAGTTTATCAAATTAACCTTAAAGTTCTAAATTTATCAAATTCAAAGGTGAATATAAGTGGTGAGTAGTAAAAGTAAGGCTAAATTTAGATGAACAAACAAACAAACAAACATGATTTTTGTCATTTATGTAAAAGAAACAAAACAAAAGTAAGAAATTGATCGAGAAATTATGAATTTACAGGAACACTCTGATTCAATCTTTCAAACCTGTCTCAACAAAAATCAGAACTCATCAAACCCTTCATCTCCTTCAATCCGATGACAGTATTTCTGCATTCTCACGCCGCTGGTGCTGTTCCTGCCTCCCATAATCTCATTCAACGCCACTCTGTTCTTCGTCCAACCCTCCGCCCTCTGTTTCGGCGCGCTTCGCGACCTCGATTTCGCCTTAAACGATTTCGTACTCGCCATATAATTCGGAAAATTCGTAAACGGACGGAAAAACCCTTCGCCGTACACCACCCTTGCCGGCGTCGCTGTCGCCGCCGCCGTCGTCCACCCGTAGTTCCGCACACGCGGCGTGCTCTGGGCTGTCGACATCCTCCCACACTCCTCTCCGCCGGTGAAACACCACTCCCCGCCTGAGAATCTGGCCGGCGAAGCCATTGTCCAGAGGTACGGCGACGGCCGGTCGTCGGCAAGGTCCGAGAGGAGGTTGTTGAAATGCCGGGACCTCGATTTGGGTTTCTGGAATAGTTTGTCGATTTCCACGATTTTGGGGTCTTCGATTTCGTCCGAGAAAAGAAATCTGACGTCGCCGATATCCGGAGACTTTTCCAGCAGGGATTTGTTCTCTTTGTTGCTTGAACGACGAGCTCGTTGCGATCGGACGGTGGTTTGTGCTCGGATTAGAGCTTGCATGCTCTGTAATGTGGCGGCTGCTCGTTTTCGAACGAGAAAGCCTCTAACTAAAGCCTGTAATTTGACCAAACTTCTTAATGCTTGAAGTGCCTTCCTCGCCTGCAATCAAATTTCAAATAATTTGAATATAATTATTGGAGAAGAGAAAAGGATTATTAAACCAAAAATTATGAAACCGATTGATTTACCAAAAAGCCTCTGAAAACCTTTTGAATTGTAAGAGCAGCCGAAATCACCTTCCCTCCATTGAACAAACCACCTCCTCTAGTTTGGTTGGTAAGCATAACAACCGCCACCGCCGCTTGAGCCGCCGCCACAGCAGCATCAGCAGCAGCAGCCGATGCTGCTGCGACAGCGATCGCATGTTCATTACGCTCTTCCTCTGCAGGACAAGATCTCTGGCAATCAGCATCCGCCATTCTCGGCGGCGGTGGCAGCTTCTGAACTTCTCCGGTGAATTCCTTCCCGGATTTTGAAAAACTGCACCGATTCCTCTCTTTGTTTTCACCATCGGCGGGCAAACATGAATTGTGATCGGCATTCTTGTCTCTCCTCATTCCCAATAAGGCCCTCAACAATCTCATCGCCTTCCCCATTCTGATTTGGTGAGATTCTTGTCTTTTTTGATGTGTTGTGTGTGGATATCATATTGCCTTTTGAATACCCTCCTCCTCCACCTCCTCCACCTCCTCCTCCGTTGGAAATTAATCGGAGAGAGAGAAAATTGAGTCAAAGACAGTAAAAGAATTACAGAGAGTTTCACTATAATTGTACTGCCCTCCTTCTTTTGACTCATTTCTAATCATATTACCCTAAATTAAATCACAATATTAATACGCATCTAACTCATCCATTATTCAACTCAATAATTCACAAACCAATAATACTTTCATTCATATCTATAGCCTATAATTTCCTTTTCTTTTTCTTTTCTTTTTTATAAAAGAAAAACATAGCCTATAGTTTGTTTAAATCAAACCATAATTTAAATTTAATTACTCTCATACCTTAATCTCCAACTATTATTATTCATTGAAGGCGCCAAATTTTTTCAGACAATCAAAGTCAATAATTGAGTTTGGGTCGTTGGATTAGGGGACCAAATAGGGCACGCTTGATCACACACGTCATAATGATACTATAGGCCCAATGTGTTCGGTGTAGCCCATTTTTTTAGGGGGGTGCATCAGCTGGAGTAAGGTAAATTCGCATTCAATTTTTATTTAATTTATGTTTGAATTTTACATTTCAAACGTCAAAAGAGTCGAGACAGAATTTGAACTTATAATTTATTTCCAACTCACTAGTCTATCCACACATATATATATTTTTTTCATTCAACTCTAGAGCTACATCACTGGAGTACGACGGCTAAGATGATTATTCGAATAGAAAGAGTGGAAATTTGAGCAAATTAAGAAAATGATATCATTTGGCAGACTTGTACTTAGGATAATGCATGTGATATAGATTTTAAAATCATATGCATAAAAGGTCAGGTTAATTGTGTTGGGTGTGAAAACATTAATTGATTTCAATGATATTGAATGCTAAACTGTAGGACATTTACATTAGTGTAGGAATTATTTAAAACATCATCAATTTAGAGTTATGGTAATGCTAATAATTGAGTGATAGAGGAAGGTAGATTCATAGGTTTTGACCCCAATTTGCATTATTTTGCCCATCCTCGTGTGCAATAACCTTCAAAAAAAACATTCACAACCACTACTATTCCATATTAAGATAGGAGAGGCCATCTGATAGTGAATCAAACAAAAAGAGGACCGAAGTTGATGAGCTTGAGGTGGAGACCGACCCAAGGGTTGGCGTGGTCGGCCACACATTAATCACAGGATGCAATGTTGTTGTCAAAGGGTAAAGTAAGAAATGTTCCCACCCCTAACCACTCATTGAGAAGTGAAAAGGAGTAGACTTGTTGGTCAGTTTTTGGGCCCAAAGTTAGGCCAGTTCTGAATGACAGTGACACAACTGATGGATGCCACCACATCCCTTTGTTCCCATTCCATATGCCCTTCTTCTGACCCATCTCCCTAACTAATGCCCTTCTTCTGACCCATCTCCCTAACTAATGCCCTTCTTCTGACCCATCTCCCTAACTAATGCCCTTCTTCCTTTTCCCAACTCAAAACCCTTTTCAGATACTACACGACTACGTCTCCAAACTTAAAATGGAATCGATTCGTTCTTGAAGTACGCTGACCTGAACTTTTGTTTGTAGTTATCTTAATGTTTAATCTTATCCTAGTGAGGGATTTATATTAGAACACCAAATGAGTGGCTAATTTAGGCGATGGGAGATTGATTTGATTGGATTTTACATTGCAATTTCAGAAATTACAAAATGAAAAGCATAACCCCATTAGTGTATGGGGATGATGATTAAAGCATGAGTGATTCTATCTTCTCTAAACCTTCTCCTTACAACTTAACTTCTCTTCTGCGGCCTCGAACCAACCACTGTAATCAAACAAATCCCGGGTGTGTAAGTGATGGCATCAAATGAGGAAATAAACAAGAATGTTGGTTTGGTTGTGTTTCAACTCACCACTCAACGCTGGCAATTCAGAGCTCTTCAGCACGCGCAGCCTCTTCACCGTGGAAATGAACATTCTGTGACACGAGGACAGGAGATTACGAAACGCTTCTACTGTTATGTAATGCTAATAAAAGGATGTGCAGAGAGTTATGCTTACTGCCACGGCACATCGCCAACAAGAACTCTGTCGCCTTCGTTGTCCTCATAAACAAGCGTATATTCTCCACTTCCATCCAGCAAACCCGTGATTGGTTTCTCTTCTTCTTGCTTCTTCAACACGCCACTGCCTGACGAATCTCTTTGAGCTGCACAAACACCAACAAATTTCAGAAGACGAATCAACAACCAAACCCTCGGAACAGTTCTTGTGGAGATTACCAGCAAGTAAGGCTCGGAACAGTTCATCAACAGCAGACGAAAGTCTTTGATAGTTGTCATAGGCATTGAGATCTATCTTCCTACCAATGGGAACTCCATCCATATTGATCTTCACAAACAGTCCCTTCCCACCAGCTTCGACCCGTTTCTCCCGGGGAGCCGGGAGCTTGCTCGGGGCGGCATCCGCGGACTCCACTGCAGGCTTCTCAAAGCTGCTGCTTCTGAGGTTTCTTCTCGAGGATCGAATTGGTGGCCATCCCACAACTGGAGCAGGCGCAGTCCTTTGTATTTGTTCACACAGTTACGCAATTCTTATTAGTGTATTTCACTACCTAATTCTTTGAAAAACAGAGCATTCAAAGTAAAGTAGATATTGACAACATCCGCTGTTCATCAACTTGACCCTTACAACCCAAATTCATTCACTTATCTAAATTCAGAAATTGAAACAAAAGTTAGCTAAAAAAAGATTCTTGTGAAGGGAAGCTTTGATTAAGACTAATGCCAAAAAACAAACAGACAAAGGAAAGGAAAGATAAGATTAGACCCATTTTTCAATTACCAAGTGGAAAGGATTAAAAAAGATGCAAGGACAGGACATGGACCACAAGAACACAAGCCTGCCATAAGATGACCCTTTGTCCTTTTTACACATGCTTCGAGTTTCAACAGCCATGAAAATAATACTAAACACCAAGAGAAAGAGAGGGTGTACCTTTTCTGAGAAGTGTTAGAAACAGGTGTGTTAGCAGAGGAAGGAAATGATTTGGCTTCAGCATTTTGTAAATCTCCCATTTTAGAACAAAACCCTGAAAAGTTGTTGGGTTGAAGCTTTCCAAGGAAATTTGCAGACGACGACCACGGATTCTCAGAGGGAGAAAATTTTGAAGAAGTGGGAAAATGGCCAAAAGAGAGAACAGAGTCATTTCTTTCATTGCGGGACCAGTCGGCTTCTCCAGGCAGGCCAAGCCTCAGCTCAAGCTTCTTGTCGTCGGAGGTTTGCGTTTTTCCGGCGACATCTACGGCGGAAAGCCATTGGCGGTGTTTGGGGATCAAATCCAACAGCTGAGGACAATCCTCGTCTTTCTCAGAACACCCATTCATCTCCATTGAAAGATTTGGGAGTTTTTGAGGAAACCCAGATGGGAGAAATCAGGAAATACGAATTGGTATCCTTTCTGAATGAAATTGTTCGAGAAAATAGGCAAGAAAACTGAGTAGGAGAAGGAGAGAAGAGGTAAGAAACAGAGGCAGTTATTAGATGAAAGACTAAAACAGAACCCAAATAAAGAAACAAAAAGATAAAACGAAATACCCCAAGTACCTGGTGAAATCTTGAAGAAGAGATGATAAAAAAGAGGACCCAGGTCTCAAATCGTGGAAAGAAAGACGAGAAGAGAATGAAAATAGGCAGCGAAGCAAAGGGTTGAAGAGGATATATATATAATGAGGGAGAAGGAGAAGGAGAAGGAGAGAAGAGGAAGATGAAAGGAGATTGAAGGAGGAGAATGTATTTGAGGAGCAAAAGAACCCAAAAGAGGGAACAGTACATAGAGCATTATTATTCACTCAATCAAAACATGAAAAAAAACAAAAATATATATTGGTGGGTTACTCAGCTCAGGAAGCAAAGCGTGCTAAAAAGATGCTCTCCTCATCTCTCTCTATCCAAAAACTTTCTTTCTTTCTTTCTCTGTCTCTCTATGCAATGCCAGTACCCAGCAAGAGAAGAAGAACAAAACAAAGAAACAAGGGATTACCGTAACTTGCACAACAACCCAACCATTACCCAACATGCCTGCTTTTGTGGGGGGAAACACTCCATCAATCTTAAATTAGCTTCAACTCAACAACACATCCTTATAATTTCAAATCAAATACGAGTTTATTAAACCCTTAAATAAATCTGTATCCATTATTATTTCAAACTCTCAAATTGGCAGAGCCTTCTCGCCTCGCCCCGCCCCGCCCAAATACTGTACCCTATGCGGCTCACTCTTTTTTTTTTTTTTTTTAATTTAATAAACACGTGTCAAGTGGATATGAAAGCGGGGGTGTTGAGCACACTTGGTAGTGCTGTCGTTTTGCGTCGTGAGCCGCCCGTGATTCATCTCACTCTCTCACCTCCGACCATCCAACAAGCCCGAGGATGGATGCCTTCAGAACGCCAAGTCAGCAACAATTATTGTCGTATTATAATTTCCTTATGCCACGTCAATAACTATTATGCGATTTGACGCAGCCGTACTACAACCCCCACTCACCCCCTTTGCCTTTGCCTTTTTAACTTACCACTTTTCTTCGCCTTTTTCTTATACTCGCGTGCCTTCAACTTTACACGTCACCTTTAAATTCTAAATTAGGTGGATTAAAGATGTACCATATCACTTAACCTACATTAATTTAAAAAAAAAAAATTAAACTATTTTTGTAAGAAGAAGGGAATGGACGGTGATGAGGAAGCAAGGCGTGGAGAGAAGGTTAAATCAGATGGGGGTAATGATTCGGTGTGTGCGTTACTAGAGTAGAAGAAGTTAATGTAACTAAGACAAGAAGTCAAATCAAATCAAACCATCCAACCTCTTTTACTTCATGGATTTGGGTCATTTTTTCTTTTCTTCCACATATTCCATCAATATTCCATTTTAATCAAAATTTTAATCAGAAGTATAAGAGTATTAGTATTATTAGTATAATTATAATGTTTCCCACTTATGTTATTCTTATCTTTCTATTTCATTTTTTTTTGTTTTTGCTCATAAAAGCAGGCGCCGCTATTTTGCCCCAATATTTATTCATCAATTATAAAGTACTAATAAGGTGGGATCCATCCTCCAATCATTTTAAAAAATGGTTAATGATAATTCAAATGATATTATTTCTCAAGTTTCCTCATTTTTATTGCACTTTCTTTACTTCTTACTTCAATGTGTTTAAAGCAGTCGATTAGTATTAAATGTATTAACTTTCTCCCACTTTTTAAGATTATTATCCCATCAGATTGGAAGTTAAAAAGGTGCAAAGGAATTGAGGAAATAAAGGGTAACCATGTTGATGACAACCACCAAGGATGCCTCTCTAGTCAATTATAGTCTCTCTTTTTCCCCATCATTCAATGCTCTTTCATAACACCTTTCATCGTTTCTTCGAATGGGTACCTGCATTTATAATTATTCATTATTTATGTCAAGTTTTTCTATTTGATTTTTTTCGACAAACAATTTTCAACAATCAACTCTCTCGTTCTTTATTGATCAAATGGGTATGAGATAAAAGACGCTCAATTATATATAAAATTAAAAATAAACTAATGGGTACAAGAACAAAGAAAAAAAAGTTGATGAAATACAATGGAGATGGCTAATGGCTTTCACATCATCTATCCGGTTTGTCCTTCCTTCCTTCTTCTTTGTTGATGAAATTCAAATGTGATAGGTAGCATTATTCATATATACATACACTTTATATGCTCTATCAATCCCCACTTTCCCCTGTATATAGGTAGGCCTCTCTCTCTCTCTCTCTCTCTCTCTCTCTCTCTCTCTCTCTCTCT